AATAAAGAATAGATACTATATCTTACAAGCACATCCATAAAAATATTTTTTTGGCAGTAACAATAGTTTAACGTAATATAGGCAAGTGCAACATGAAAGAGACCTTTTCAGTGCAGTGTTATTTCAGTGCGTGCTAATCTGTGAAGTTTCAACTAGCCGACTAGTACGACTTCAGCAGCAAAACCTTTTCGAACAACGCGTCGCTAAGACGGCGCCTGCAGGGGCATAGAATAAGGCTGCCAGGGAAAAGTAGGCTCCCTACAGAGGCAGAATAACTGAAGTTCGTATTATACCTTAAAAAGACGCGGTTCGCAGCGAGGTATTTATGCAGAGTCGTAATCGAGGTGCGCATGTTTTCCAAGTAACGAAACACCTCAGGGCGCACGCTAAATGCGCTCGACATCTCGGTCAAGGGAATGTGACCCGAAAAGTTAACGAATGCGTAGCTCTCATTTGGCTACGGCGCCCAGACTCCGGTACACGTTGTTGACAGATCCTGCGCACCTTGCACAAGGAGATCGCTGATGTCAAGCGTACCATCGCGTAGCATCCAACGGGTCTTACAATAGTGGTGTATACAAGAACTGATAAAAACATGTTTGTCACCCAGGCACTACAACCTTTGGAAACGTCTCTCCAGACCGTCCAGGACAGCGTGCGCGATGTTTTCCGTACGTGGATCTTGTCAACTTTCCAGCACTTCTTCTAGCTTGACTCGGACCGTGAACAACACCGGAAACAACTCGCCATAGTAACCACTGTTGCTGCTTCCTTGCAGGCGTTCAATCGCTGAAGTTAATGAGTGAGCTGTGAGTACAATGATCCAGTATGCGTGACATAAAATGAAAGAGGCGAAGGCACGCATGTTATAAAGCAATTTCTGTCCACGTTATGTATATTACGTTCTGGCATGTGAAATTAAATCAGCGCCCCAAAATGACAGGGAAGTAGAGAGAAACACACTCCACGCGCTCGTCCTGTGTGCTTCTTTTTTTTAAGTACTGTCTTTTTTGCGGGCAACTTCAAATTTATTAGGCCATGAACCAACTCGCTGCATTGCTAGGTTATTCCACTTTGCGGCAGGCTAATATTCATATCATAAATGCGAGCTAATTAGATTTATTTATTTTACAATACTGCAGGCCAGTTCTCTGGCCCAAGCAGGAGTTGTTGAATTGTTGAATATTATTCACTATCTACCTGAAGCAATTGATTTTAGAATGGTGCAATATTCCTCAATAAGCTCAATCTTCGAGGACTTCAATGAGGGCAGCTGGAGCTTGTTCGGGAGAAGTTGTAGGTTCTTGGTGAGGACGTCCAAGGCGTGGTACAGAGAGTTCGAGCGAGTGATGCAAGGGTCTCGTAATTTCTTGCCAAGGATAGATGTAAGAACTTCCGCTGATTTTGGCCGACATGAGGCGTCCCAGTATTATGAGACCCTTCTCGTCACGCTGGAATGGAGGCTGTCTATAGCGATTAAACTAAGCATGTGACACGCGCACCGCATGCAGGTACGGTGACAAAACCTGGCCTGGTGACTTGATCTCTTCAAACGTGGCGTGCTCAACGTAACCCGAAAATGAGATCGTTATAATAGATTATCGTTGTATCTGGACTAGAACCTGGTCGTTTCGAGTCTAGAAACTCTATAAACTGATCGTTATAAGCGATATATCGTCATATGTGGTATCGTTATAAGTGGATTGCACTGTATTTAAATTAATTCTACAGAAGAGAGGCCAGATGGTTGAAGATTAGAGAGAAATAATGACAAGATAAATAAGAATGCGCAGCGGGCTGTCACGCCCAGGTAGCTCTCAGTCGAAGTTTACCATACGTGGGCCGTAAAGCACACGTTTAGCGGCCCTTTTAGGTTCCGCCCTAACTCTCGCGAGATGGACATCGTAATCAGAGTCGACTCTGGGACCCAGAGTTCCTTCTCAACATGACATTTAGGGTTGTTGGGCAAGTAGATAAAAAACAAAGTATAAAAAAATATGTCCTACAAAACAAAAAGGAGATGACATAATCAGTCTACTATAACTGAAATACACAAGCCAACCAGAAGGTCATAAAAAAACGCCCCTCTGACGAAGGCCACAAACTCCGTTTGCTCGACGAAGGTCAAAGGAAGCATCCCTTCCACAACCAGATCCGTCAGTGAACTGTCCAACATGGTCTACGTGACCACGGGAGCACTTGGCACAGTCGCAAGCACTAGTCTCGTTTGCTTGAGGGCTGGTTCTGGGGCGGCGGTGCCATGTCTCTTTTCTTGGTAAGGATCACGCCGAACGTGGTCACCGAACTCGACAAAAACAAGAGGATGAATACGCTACGCCAAGTAAATAGAATTATAATAATTATATGCTAAAAACAGTAGCCCAAAATGTGAAAAAATCAAGGTCTAGACAAATTTTAGGATACCTTCAGGTGTGTCCTTACGTTGGACGTTGCCAACGGTGACCTTGCAATAGTATTTTGGCATGACTGGCAGACGGCCTTGACATGGTTATCTTCTTCTGCATTGAGAAAGATTTTCCATCAAGGATATTCGGTTTCTTCTCTCTGACGATGTTGACGATGATTGAGTCATGCCCTGCCTCTGTGTGTGTATATATATTTAAACTCTGTGCATAAAACTATAAAACTATTTGTTAACTTACATGGGGTGGTCTTTCAGAGACGACAAAACTTGTTATGGTACCGCTTTTACGTCTGCTGACGAACTGTCAGTCCGGTATTAACACCGAGAACGAAAGCAAGCGTCGCCATTGTAACAGCATAAGGATTGGACAATATTCTTTTCTTATGTCACGGCAAAGGTACATTAGTTTGGCTCACAATATATTAAGATTGCGGAAATAAAACGAAATTGAAATTAAACACAGCAGAAAGTCGTTTCGAGGTCATCAGCAGCAAATCTGCAATCGTGCAAATGTTCAGTACCCAAACAGTTTTTACCCCGGCATATTTTACTGCGGCGTAGATTCCGGCAGAATGTCAGAGCGGGAGGGTAGCCACTAGAACTTCGATTTCTACTAAATTCATGCGATCCAGCTGTACAAATCGTTTCGAAAAATCTGCATTTCAGAAAAACAATAAATGCACTAGAGAGGATATAGGAAATCGCTTCGTGCTTCTCTGAAACTTCCCCTTCCATCGAGCTTCCACGAAGTGTGCACTGCGACAAGAGCTCCACTCATCCGGACGAGTCTCGTGGCAGCCGGCACTAGCACTATTGCATGTTAAAAAACTTAGAAGTCCTTTGAAAAATCATACAAATTAAAAAAAAAAAAGCTTTCTCGCAATTTCTAGACACCGAGTAACTCAAAGCATCCACGGTTTCTGTAATTCAGAAAATGTTGTACTATTTGCTTTTTGTGTGCTGTGTGTGTAGGAAAAGAGAGGGGGGAGGGGCAAGGAGTCAGTTTCTGGAAGGATCGCTTGTCTCCAAGGAGGATCGAAGGAGGAGAGGGCATGACCTCAGCCGCGTAGCCTCCACAAGCCATGCTCCCCGGACGCCTCGCCTCTTTCTCATTTTCCTCCTCACTCTCCTCACTTATCAGCCCAACATGACCACATCATGTGACCGTAGCTAGCCTTCGTCTAGCCTTCGATCCCATAGAACCTGCCGGACGGAGCGCGTGCAAGCCTGCCAGGAATCCTTCTACAATTAGCCATCCTTCTCGCACGTGATATGTCACGCGCACCAATCGCCAGAGAGATCTGCGGTCACGCTGGACACAATATTGTTTAAACTTTTTTTTATGACTAGGCTTCACCAATATTGCAACGTGCCCCCTCCTAGTACCTAGTAATGGGCCGAACTTTTGCCGAATCGAAAATTAGACGCCGAATCTCCGGATTCGGCAAATTGTATTTTTGTATTGTGGTTCTCCTTAGGGCCACTGCCTTTGGGAGTACCACGCTGGCAGCGAGACACTCTACCGCGAAGACGGTTCGTACTCGCGTGGCATGCTGCTCGTTGAGCGCAAACAGACACCAGTCACGTTGGTAACGGTGATAAACTCTGTTTATTTACAATGAAACAAATAACAACAAAACAGCGGCTATAAGCTGGTGAACGCCGTCGGTGTGGAGATCGCCCACGGCCGAACGGTCGTTCACAAAGGTACAAAGGACGGGCTAAACGCTCACCGGTGCACCGGACGGTTCCCCGTTGTCGCCGCCGCCGAATCTCAGGAAGAAGAGACAAGCGAGACTGCTGTCCGCTGGTTTTAAGATAACGGCGGGGGCGAAGTGGCCAATCAAGGAGCGACACGTCGATCTCCTTTGTGCGGGGGTTCGTTACGGAAATCGCCCCAAGGGGGGAGAGGAGGAAGCCACTCACAGTGGTAAGCAGCGCCACCTCTCGCTACGCCAAAACGCTGACGCGACAGAATGTTGAGGGATCACAATCCCCGCAGTATATAAATTGTATATACGCTGCATTGTATTGTAAATTGTAAATTGGTATATACACTGCATTGCTTGACCTTTTACAGGCCGTTTTTGATCGTTCAGACAGATTTCTTGGCTTGTTGGACTTGGAGATCAGAGTGCAAACAACAACAGGCATGTATAATTTCCTAACTTAAACGCTTCCCACCTGAAGAAAACTGTAGCCTTAAATAAACTCCTGTGTTCTATAAAACATTTGTTTTTCATAATACTTAAGTGTATAAACAGAAATCCAGCTGTGACAAAAATATTCACCATGTCCTCAAGGTGGACCCAGCTCCATTTTTGCCAGGTATGACGTACTGTTTACTGTAAAGTACACGAAACAATATCTATTGTCTTTCCACATATACCTCGAGGTGTTGATAGAACTGCGAATAATTTCGAAGTAACCTGGATAACAATGGGTGCGAGCGTAATTGCTTTCTTAAAGAAAACAAAAAAAAAATTGAAATAGCTCGGGGAATTGTATGCTGACGGACTAGTATATAAAAGCATCGCCAGCCTTCGAAAGGCATCGTCTACGTCTATCGTCCAAGATGAAGGCAACCATTGCAGTTCTTTGTTTCCTCGTTATAGAAGCGTACGCTATTGCGGCGGCGGATGCGATGGGTAAGTACGTGTTTTTCAAACCGTAACCATCACGTTTCTTGTATCTTCCTATTGCCGCGTGCACAGGTGTCCCAGCGGGCAGCGCGCTCGTGGCCTAAGGGATATGGCGCGTGCCTTCCGCGCAGAAAGCCAGCGTTCGATTCCTGGGCGTGAAGACGCAGTTTTGTTGACTGTACCGTAATGTTCTGGTAAATTCGAGAACCGTGTTGGCTGATTCGAGGTTAGAATGTTCTGCACACCCAACCTTCTACACCGATTGTTCCAGAAGCCCACGCGTGTACAAAAGGAGCTCGGCGTGGCAAGCAGCAATCAGTTCTCGCCCCAGCGTTCGACTCTGCTGTCACGCCGACATCGACGCCCGCGACGCTCTGCTTTCTTCTGCTCCCTTTTTATATTTTTGGGCACAAGTTCGTCCCATTAGACGTTTAGTTTCTTCAGTTATTACAACGTCATCACTTGTCATTCGTGACACTATATCCTTTCCTAGGGGTTGCCATGTAGTCTACCGAATATTTAGTCAAAAGCGAGTGTTCATACTCAAGCAGTAACGCACGCCGCTGGTTACTTGAAGAATATGTATGGAGCAAATATTTCTCGTATTGACTGCAAACTGATGCAATGAGGCGCTGAAACAAAGAACATTTAGGGTGGTTCACACCAGTTAAAATTCTGTAACTGAACTGTCACTCAGCTTTTTTTTTTTGTGGTTTTCGTTTTATATTTATTTTAAGACAACGCAAGAATCACTTCTTTCTCTGAGTCAGACGCTGAGTGGTTTTGGTCGTACAAAAGAACAGCGCTGCTCATTTCGCATTACATACGCTCGCTGACGAGCAGTAAGGAACATTGCGGATGTATTTTTGTTTGATTAAGCTTTGTCGCTAAGGTAGCGGGTACAAACTATTACTGCAGCAGCTTTTATTATTATTTTTTTTAACACCGCAACGGCTTACAAAACCTTCTCACTGAGAGAGGTCGTTTTGACCAAATGAACCGTGCGCACTTCTTTTTTTCTTGTGTGTGCAATTGTATCGCAACATCACTAAACGCAGAACTGTAGCCCCTCGTGATACCTGACTCGCCCTTCTGCGACGCCGTGGCCCTGCACTACTTCTATTGCTTGATGATATTAATGCGATATCATTTTTTAGCTACTTCACCGGTTTTCGCGACACGCTCTCTGGCCTTGAATGCGCCGCGGAGGGCGCCGAGCGGCGCCGCGGCGTATCCGCATGCGCAGGACGTCCGCATACGCTCATCGTCCGTCTACGCAGGCGCCGCGCGTATGCGGACATCGTCCTCGATATCTTCCTAGAGGTCGTCCATGAGGTCGTCCATGAGGTCGTCCTAGAAATCGTTTTTGAAGTCGTCCTTGCGATTGTCCTAGAGGTCGTCTTAGAGATCATTGTAGACGTCGTCCTGGACGGCGTCCTAGACGGCGTCTTTGACGTCTTCCTCTAGGACGTAGTGCTAGCAAGCGAATAAACCCACGCCCTGCATACATGGAGCGGCAGTACAAACACATTCACATTTGCGCCCAAGGTACGATGCAATTATCAGCTTGAGTTCAGCTAGTTGGTACATGGTCAATGATGGTGGTGAAACAGCTTTAACATTAATAGCTTCGTCCCATTAGAGCCACAAACACCGATTTTTGTGCGGCGACGCCAGAACGTTCAGTGTTGCTGACGCTGTCTTACTGTAACGACAAATACCCTCGACAAACTCCAACAAGTGCCGACAAACGATCGACGCGAACACGTGATAGTTTGGAAGACTTGAAAGGGAAAAAAATATCAAGGACGGGGACGGACACGGGAATTCTTGCGTTGAACAGTTTCAACGTTCTCGAAGAAGGTAAAAAGAAAGTGAGCTGCGTCGTGAATCTTATGATTATGGGGGGATCGGTGGCCGAGTGGGCTAGCGCACAGCAGCTCGGAGCACCTGGAGCGGAAACTCACGCTGCAGGACGCAGGGGTGCTGGGTTGGATCTCCATTCCTGCCCGTTTCGATCTAAATGAGCACCATACGGGCGTGTAATCTTGTATCACTACTGCGTGGTGCACGTTAAAAACCTTAGGCTAGCAGTGTTACCGCACTTACTATATTGCTCATCTAAAGCTGAGAGACAAGTTGCCCGTTCTGGCAAATTAAGTTCAACCTGTGTAAACATACACACACAAATTTACTTGTCTCGTGACAAATGCTATCGCAGTTCCTATACTCAACCAACAGCAGTGGTTTCTGCAGTCGATTTTTAGTAACGCAGCGAAAGTTCAGTACGAAGGCTTTCTTATGCAGAAGGTGCTTTCCCTGCCATAATTGACGTCGTTGTCGTGCGAGGGGCGGCGGCGATGGGACTGCAGGATCACTAGCACCCTTTCCGCACAATCGGTTTTTACGTGTGACAAGCAAAGCAAATCGTTGTGTGTATATTTATACAGCCGGAAGTTAGTCTGCCTCAGTGGGTCCGGTGTCTCAGCTGTAGATGGGCAATTTAGCCAGTGCTGTACAACCGCTAACCTGGGGTCTTTAACGTGCACCACGCAGTGGTGATACACGACCGCACGCCGGTACGATGCTCATCGAGATCGAAACGGGCAGGGGCGGGGACTGAACCCAGGATCCTGTGTTCTGGAGCGCGAGGTTTCGCTCCACGAGCTCCGAACTGGTGTGCGCTAGCCCACTCGACCACCGATCCCCCCTTTTACGTGTGAACATTGCCGAATTTTGCTAAAAAGGAGCATAAAAAGCTACTGGTGCCCCCAAAACGGCTACTTTTTTTTTTTTCGCCCTGTACGTCACATGCATTAACGGGTTCGAATGAAATGCGAACACTGGAGCGCATGACCATGAACCAATGCCGCAATTCCTATGGGGACCCCTGGAAACTGATACAACTGAGGGGTGGAGAGTAGGTCGCTGCGGGGGTGTGTGTCCTAGTGCGAAGTGTTTGAATCTCGCCCAGCACAACCCAAGCCGGTGTGCCGGTGGTGCGCTGGAAGTTCCGTCACTTTTCGCATTTCTTTCGAACACGATACTATCTTAAGTATGTCTTGCGATTTTTGCAGGGAGCCCCGGAAAACGTTGTACTTTGCCAAAAGAAACTGGACCATGCAAGGCCAGCTCCCCAAGATTTTACTTCGACAAAAAGGACGGGCAGTGCAAAAGATTTACTTACGGAGGCTGCCGCGGGAATGGAAATAATTTCGAAACATTGGAGAAATGCCAAAAAACCTGCAAATGAGGTAATTAAGTATCGTATTTTATTAAAACTTAATCCGCAAGAGCGCCTCGACCACGGTCACGCTACTTCCACATCGTACAAAAGAGACTCACACTGCCTGATGTGTATTTCTTCTAAGAGAGTCATGTAAATTGGTCGTATAAAAACTGTCTGCAGACGTGTTCCAAGCCTACATGTTTATGAATGTTTGGAAGATGCGTGAGGCCTGTCAGCAGATATGTTTCTCATCATGTCTGCGGAGAAACTCCGTGCCTTTTGTAGATGTGTGAGTATCGTGATTACGGCTGAACAGAGATGAGCACATTTCGAACGTAGGGCATGACACTGGCGCAGACACCAGTAGAAAGATGGTCTACTGATGCTGTCTAACGCCCGGCTCAAACATTTCCGTTTAAATGCATCCACGTGCCTTGCAATCGCTCTTGACACTGGCGCCATATATCGTATTGTCTAGAGACACTCCCCATACCCTTATATATTTTCGAACTTTTTTTTAACTTCCTTTACGCTCGTTTGTGTGTTTATTTCTCGATGCCGACATACGAGCAGCATTCAACTACATAAGCTTTTTAGATCTTCATTTTTTAAAACTTAATTTTGGTTACCTAAATTTTCACTAAACTTTTGGGAAACCAATATTCAGCTTATAAATTCGTTTATGTGAAGTCTAAAAAGCGCACTTCCTAATTCTTTTGTTCGTATTTAAGAAATCTGAAACGGGAGCACTCAAATATTATATACCGAGCCAACAGGAATACCGAACTCGGAAAGTTTGTACCAACCACTTACAGGAACCCAAGCTAAGTCATTACTAAATTAACGGGGCTAAAATGCTTAGTTAACTCATCACATATTTTTTAGCGATTTACGCTCTTATTAGTGATATGTAAAGCTCGCCCGCGCAATAGAACGGCACCACTACTGTGACAGATCATTAACCAGGCTTTCCTTTGAAATAAGCTAATGAATGCATTTAATGACAACATCTCCTCTATTAACATAATGTGGACGGTTGCCAAGCTCACATGCACCAGTTAATACTTTAGGTAGGTGCTTCCGCTGCACGAGCGTTTGTTGAGGCGATGCGCATTGTAATACAAAGAGCTCGCTCCGGTCATCGATGCTACAGCCCCCCTAAATGCGAAGCGTCCTCGGCAACCTTAGATTGTGCATTATAGAAAATAAGTGAAAAAACTGTATTCCTAATGGGACATCGAGGCCTTGAAATGGATAACCCCTTAAAACTATTTTTTCGGAACGCACAGAGGGCTGCCATTTTTTCTTTTATTTACCCTTTTAGAACCACTTGGAGTGATAATATCTGATTATTTACTAGATACACTGATTGAAATCAAATTGATTAAATATAAATCAAATAGATTTAATGTAAACAAAAAAAACTATTTTATTCTTTCCAAAAATATATAGATTTTTCGTTTTTTTTTTTTAACTTGTGTGCTGCAAAAATATAACGTTCCTTTGATGATGTATAATATTTGCACCACGGACAATATCTACCTGGTATACATTAAAGTAACAATATATTTATGATAACCCTTGAACCCAAGAATAAACGTGAATATTACAAACAAAAATGCATTTTACCGTGAGGTTGAATAAAGCAAATGGTTTCACAGGGAACACCCAGTTTTCTGCACCAATAAACCAAGCAAGAACCGATTTCAAAATCCCTGAATCGCGTACAACTCTCGTGAACTCATTTTAGACTTTGTTTTGCTTATCTCAATTCAACATAGTAGTGGAGGCCCTCCCCTTGCACTCAATTTCGCTTCTATAATAAAGCCCAAGCGCAATTTACTTCTGCACATTAGACGCAATTTTGAGGCATTGCTAGGATCTCTAGACGCTACTTATTAAAAAGTGACATTTATTCTTTCGAACATGAAAAATTTGATTTGTTCCTCAAATAATAATGTTCGCATTGTGCAAATATTTGAATATGATTCTGGAGAGTGCGAGGCTTTTCTGAGGTACTCTTGCCACTTGTGTATTTCGCGTCCAGCGTGAAGAATCTTGAGCATTTGAATATTTATCCGAATCCAAAGAGATTCTGGCATTAACCGATGAGAGAACAGAACGTAGCACTCCTTAAGAAGAGTGAACATAAGCATCGCCCTGTGCCTCTGAAGTTGTCAGGAAGCATAGACACACGAAACACGTCATAGGCATTTCGATGAATAATTTAGGAGTGCTACGGGTTTCCGCAATTCTTTTATCATTACCGCTTTCCTTAATACTCAATATAGCGAATATATTTATGATATAAATCTAGCGGTTTCTTATTCCTTCAATATACGGGTCAAAATTGAAGTAGACCAGTTTAAGCCTAGTCAAGAAGCAAACCTCTAAGGTCTTCAGAAGCATTGTGTTTCGCAATAATGTATTATTTGATTTGTGCTCGTGCCAATAAGCGGACTTCGTTCAGCTAGTTTTTCTATGCCGTTTAAATCGTGGTTCCTGTAAATTGCACAGCGTCTCTCTAAACATGCACAATAGAAGCACTCCGCTGCATAAGACTCCGGTGAACACCGGTGCAAGCTATTTCCACTAGTTTAATCTTTTTAACTGCTATGATTTTAATTAGCGTTTACCTTGCAGGAAATCAAGTCAAAGCTGCCTCATTCTGGACACGATGTCTGTCTTGGCGGTTGGAGATCAATACTGACAGGGCACTAAGACTAAATAAAATCTCGCATTTAGAAAAAGAAGATAGTGCTGGCGTATTTTTTCCCCCGTTTAGATTTTAGACCTGCATAAAGCCATCAGTTAATGCGATTGCTGTTGTTTGAGGTTCTGGTAAACTCCTCTGCAAACGTTTTTCTTTTTTATTTTCCACAAAAAAAAAAAAACGGTGGGTGCTTGATTTGATCTTTAAAAAACCTATTATTTGAGCCCACAACTCCTGCCAAACGTAAGCTCGAACCAGAACCCCAATAACGAAGTTTACGTACACTAGAAACATAATTCGAAGTGCGTGTCATTATTTATTTATTTATTTATTCATATTACCCCTAAAGGCCCTCGTGAGAGGGTATTACATAGGGGGGTACATAAATCGTTCCAATAGGAACTAGTGCACATTGAACAACATATGAGAATACTAGAAAACAATCAATACACTTAATAATAAAAAGAAAATAAAGGATACACTCAAAAACGAATAAAAAAAAAACACTCACTCATCACACTGCAATAAAGCTGAGTCAAGGTAAAAACAAAGCTATTTCCACTAGTTTAATCTTTTTAACTGCTATGATTTTAATTAGCGTTTACCTTGCAGGAAAGCAAGTCAAAGCTGCCTGATTCTGGATACGATGTCTTTCTTGGTGGTTGGAGATCAATGGTGACAGGGCACTAAGACTAAATAAAATCTCGCATTTAGAAAAAGAAGATAGTGCTGGCGTTAATTTAATTGCATTTAGAAAAAGAAGATAGTGCTGGAAAGCATTAATTTAATTGAATTGTCCCAGAGAGGCAGCACGGCCAAAGATGAGGGTGACATGGACTTGAATGCCAAACTGAAAACGCCCCCTCGACAAGCTTGTCATGCTCGAGAGGGAGCTTCACTTGCAAAATCTGACCGCATTACCTACCTGAAAGCAGCGTTGGAATTTAAGCGCTAGATTTATGGGGAACGCACCAACGGACTTGTTAGATTTCAATTGGCTAACAATTATTTTCTTTACGATTGTGCGGTATCGCCTCTAAAGGTGTGTTAGTCGTTACTCGATCGTTACTTTTGATTCCTGTGATTTTTGTTTTCGCTGTAAATTAAATTAATTCGTATTTTGTAAAGTCATACCATAAAGACACAGAGCGCTCGCGGTAAGAGACATCCGTTTTGTACACGACAATTAGTCGGCAGTTGAAGGTTTTAAATCTTCGCTCCAGGTAATTCGACACGAAGGTTCTATGGAGAATTAAGACTTCGGGGGTGGGTTCGTAAACCGATCGAGTGTCTCGGAGCATTGTCTATTCGGCGCGCTTCCTTCTGACCACCTTTTACCCCTCAGGTGCCTTTCTTATTAAAAAAGTGACTGGGTCGACCCCTCTGCTTGACTAAAAATTAAAGTTTATTGCTTAGCCTTATCGTCGCACATAAAAGTCATTGGATCATTCGCAAAGAGTACAAAACTCCAGCAATTATAATAAAAATCAAAATATATTTGAGAAATTCACTAGAAAATAAATACTACGAAATCTCAATGTAAAAATGTTATTGTTGCTGAAGTTCGTTTCTGCGGCTTACCACCCTAAATAATGCTGGAATGTAAAGCAAACGCAAGAGTATTCATTCTTTTTTTTTATAGCTACTTGCTCTCTTTATGCTGATGAATGTTCTGCTCGTATTGCTTCAGTTACTGTATTATGCTCATATTTAAAAAAAATAACGAGTAATTAAAGTAATTCGTTACCAACATTTAATGACGAAATTACATTACAAATTACTTCCGAAAAAAATCATTTACAAAATTACTTGAAAAAGTAACGGATTACTTTCAAGTCTAGTCTAGACCACTGATCTCTGTCTATTTGCTGGATCACGTTTGCCCACTCCACGAATGCGGCCAGTGGCAGCCATCTTTTTGGCAATGTTATATTACCTCTAGCCAATGTATAGCTGGTGCAGCCCTTATCCTCCATTCATGGCAGACAGCGTTGCGGCAGTTGTGGTGGCAGGCTGCCATAAAAATAGCCTCGGGTGATATTTCGTTCTCCGTGGAAGTTGTTCGACGAAACATGTTGAAACCCGTCGTGAACGGTAGCCCGATATTTGAGGACCCGGTGAATGGTTCACGAAACCGCAGCACCGGGGAAAAGCAGCACAGCACGCATCGAAAGTCGCATCGAAAAAAAAAAAACATTAAAAGCTTGACGCCGGTATTAACGTTACTGGCCGGTACGGCGTCTGCAGAGCCACTAAATGAGCTGCGTTCATTTAGTGGCACTAGGTGTCTGTTAAATAAGCGTAGCTTATT